GAGAGAGAGAGAGAGAGAGAGAGAGAATGGAGAAATAATGGAAGCATTTCTGCTTGACTATCAATGTCAATCAAATCGCGACCAAATTAAAGCCAAAAATGACTAACCAGAATAACGGCAAGTGCAAACAAGGTGCAAAAGCAGTGAAGCGAAAAGAAGTCCGACAGATCACAGAAAACAGACATGGGGTGTTGGCTATCGTGAATGTTCGTTTAGCTGAAGCGTAATTAAGCAATAACACCCAGAGAAAGTTAATAAGTATATCGATGTGATGATGTGTATGGGTTTGATGAGTTGGTATGCTCCATCGTTTAGTTGTGTGTGTATGGCTCGTTGGGCTTTTGAGGGTTGAGGTGATAGCGGTAGCTGAAATGACTTTTTGATCTGCCCGTCTGTTATGTAATACTTTTCCAGAGAATTTTCCATTCGACTGATGTTTGCTTACCAGTAGAGCGATATACTCTGGTTCTAGCCCAGAATGAAGGCAAAAGTCATGTCAAAGTTACTGGCCAGTTTGTTGTGATTGTTTTATCGCTTAAAGATGGAAGTGTATGGATGACTGTCCTTCTGTGTGATTGTGTATTTGAACAGAAAATCCTTATTACAGCGCTCTTGCGATGTCTATCCGTCAGGCTTTATTGTTTCCAAAAGTGGAGGTTCATCATTGTTCAAATGTTTTCTCAAATATCGTACGGGTCTACTTGCAATCACTTAAAGACAGGGCTTCAATTTATTCATTAATGGTATGTAAGTAGGTTCCCGAAACTACAAGTTGATCATGTTCACCCGATTTAGTTAAAGTAATTGAGGGCTGATAGCCATCTTGACGAAATCGGGTGAATACATTTCAAATACATAATCTAGTGGTAGTCTCGATAACCTACTTACAAACTGAAAATAGGAAATCTAGTCGATCGCTATGGCTAAAACAATTTTGCCTCATTGGCAATCCCATCACAGACTGTGATATGAGAGGATGCCTAGCCCTTTGACTTGAGAGCAGTAGTAGCAGTGTGGCGTAATAGTTAATGTGTCAAGATTATACGCTGCACTGTCGTGATTCGAGTCCCGATGGTGGACGGATGAGACCTGAGCAAGGTCGAAACCACAGCCCACTCAGCTCAGTGAGGATACCTTCTCGTAACTAAGGCAATGCGAAATTCAATGAAAAAATAAAGTCTGCGCATATGATTGTGGGAAAATTCAACTATCAGTTGACCTGAGATTAGGCTGTGTTTTTGAACTCACCGAGCTCTCTTCTGGGTTTCGAACTCAGACGGTCAGTTCAGAGACAGACGGGCTGACGCAGACATCACATGACCACAGAGCAAATGAATACCAGGTTAGGTTTTATACCACAACACAGGCTCAAATGATACTGAGGGTGCAAGGCCGCTTAAATGACAAAAAGCTGGGTTCTGAAAAATAAAATAAAAATAGTAGGTATGAAGACCAAGATGGTGTGGCCTTTTGTGTGGTCGCAGTCTCCTTTCGTTCTATACAAGTTGTTTGACCTTTTTTTCGCAGCTCGGT